CTCGCACCCAGACTTGACGACTTCCAGCCTCCCGAACAAACCGGTTTCCGAAAGGGCTTTAGCACCATAGACCACATACATACCCTTCGGCAAGTTGTACAGAAGTCCGAGGAGTACAATTTGCCTCTATGTCTGGCGTATGTGGACTATGAGAAAGCCTTTGATTCCGTCGAAATTTGGGCGGTGCTGCAGTCCCTTCAGCGGTGTCAAGTTGACTGTCGTTATATCGAAGTGCTGAAGTGCTTGTACAGTAGGGCTACGATGGCTATCCGAGTACAGAACCAGAGTACGAAACCTATCTAATTGCAGAGAGGTGTAAGACAGGGTGATGTTATATCCCCGAAACTCTTCACCGCTGCATTGGAAGACGTTTTCAAGCTTCTGGACTGGAAAGGATATGGTATTAATATCAATGTCGAGTACATCACTCACCTTCGATTTGCCGACGGTATAGTCCTTATGGCAGAATCGCTGGAGGACCTAAGCACCTTGCTCAACGACCTGAATAGTGTCTCCCAACGAATAGGTCTTGGGATGAACATGGACAAAACAAAGATCATGTTTAATGTCCATATCACACCTATGCCGGTAGTTGTTGGGAGCACTAAGCTCGAAGTTGTTGACGAGTATGTTTACCTGAGACAAATAGGACGACTAGGTAAGTCCAATTTCGACCGAGAAGTCAATAGACGGATTCAACTCGACTAGGCAGCGTTCGGGAAACTACGACACGTCTTCTCGTCAGACATACCTCAAAACCTTAAAACGAAATTGTACAACCAGTGCGTGTTGCCAGTGATGACCTATGGTGCTGAGACGTGGTCCTTCACTGCTGGCCGTATGCGGAAGCTCAAGGTCGCTCAGCGAGCTATGGAGAGGACTATGCTCGGGGTTTCTCTGCATGATAAACTTAGAAATGAGGATATCCGCAGTAGAACCAGAGTAACCGACATAGCCTAACGGATTACTAAGCTGAAGTGGCAGTGAGCCAGCCATATAGCTCGAAGAACCGACAACCGTTGGGGAAGAAATGTTCTTGAGTGGCAGCCTCGTACCGGTAGGCGAAGTGTAGGGCGTCCCCCCATGATATGGAGTGACGACCTGGTAAAACATGCAGGAAGTCGATGGATGCAGGTGGCTCAGGACTGTGTTTTGAGGCATTCCTTGGGGGAGGCCTATGTTCAGCAGTGGACTTATGAAAGGCTGTAATGATGATGATGATGATGAGTAGGATGCGAAAAAGCCCGCATCCCATCCCAATTCGTTGACCGCACATAGTGCCACACACGGCGACCGCCTACACAGTACACATCGCGCCTGCTATGAGATGAGATGGGCACCGTACTCAGGATTAGGCAGTGATCCGAAGAGCCAAGAGGGCTCAACGTAGATCTGATATTAGTCTGGATGAGAGGTCATCAGAAAGTCTAACAGGGAAGATGCATGATCCTCCACATCTGGAATCCGCGTGGGCGAAGTGACCATTTGTGTTAGACTACTTTGCCAAGGCAAAGTCGTAAACAGATTTCCAAGCATAATCGGTAGTACGAGAACCGAGCCATTCGGCGTGGTGGGCGTTGAAATCGCCACGGAGCACAATCTCTGCGGATGTGATCTGTTGTAGCACGGAATCTGTAGCCATTTGGACGAGGTCGACGAGTCAGTCTGTCTCGGCATTAATTCTGTGGACCTATAAAGGCACCCATAGACGCGGGGGTGGTCGTAGCCGTCTATGCGTAGCAATAGGATAGACAGATCAAGACTACCGAGGCGTCGAGAACAGATACTCTCTGATGTGTACACAAACTCCGGCCCGAGTCAGAATAGAGTGTTCCAGTTTTTAATCTGGGTAAGATTAATAAAATACCAGGGAGAACTGCGTCTCGGTGAGAAAGAGCAAGACTGACTTAGCCATCTCGAGTAGTGGACAGCGTTAAGGTTTGAATACTTTCCCTTATGTTGCAGATTTTGCTCCGTTTGCCTCGTACATTTGGGCGTGGATTCCCAGTAAATAATTCTCCAGAATTATCAATGCTGCTATATTTTTATTTAACACCGCTTTCATGTTTTTCCACTGAACTGTATTATAATTTATAACATAGCTTAGGTATTTGCAAAATACGTTATAATATATAGCCGCCAGAGGGGCGCCGATGTGGTGCTAGCCTAGGGCGCTGTCGACATTCAATTCGCCTCTGGTAATACCTACATTCAGAACCACAATATTTGTAAGTAAATTATTGACGATGGCATTACAAGTTATTAAATACAACTATAATCCACTTAAAATCTAAAATGAATATAATGATATTTCAATTTCAAATTCACAGCTTATTTTGGTTAAGCTTGTTTTGTCACCCAAATACCTTTATAATTAAAAGTCACGTAAAATATGTTTTTCCAATTTCCAATTCTAAGGCCAGTAAGAATAACATCAAATAAATTACAAAAAAAAATATAAATAGTGTCCGGGTAAAAACCGATTGTTTTTGTCAAGTGACTCATTCTAAAGTCGGGAAAACCGATAACGATGCGAAAGGTTCAGGGCAAAGTGGTATAATTGCATTTCACTACTGCAAGTTATGAATATTCAGAAAAAAAATTGTTGAAATTTACTAAATAATCTTTGCTGAGATTTTTTTTTTATGATTTCTCATTTTTAATTACTGAATTAAAAAAATCTGTTGTGAAGTACTCTTTTATAATATATCACTGCAATGATTGTTATTGTAATATTAGTAGATATTAACTATACCTTATCGCAATATCTTTTTACTAGATCATGCAGTTTTAACGTCGCTGCTTTTACACATTATTAGTAGGTTATGAATATATATCTGGACCTTGACATCTCAATGATTCCTTTTATAATATTAAATTGCTTAAGTTTTAATCAAAGTAATCCAATGAGGGCTTATAATTTTCTGCTCACCAGATGTCGTTAGTTGACACTGAGGTAAAGTTTTTTGTTGTCATTTAATTGAGAAGTTAGTTTTTAATAATAGTTTATCAGATTCTAGAGTATTATATTAATACACAAAACATTGCCTCAATGGTTTTGCTCTTTATTTTTTTGCACATTTTTAACTTTTTTTTTAATATCTATTGTTATGAATATCTGTGATTAGGTTTATTTATTATTAATATTATTAATATAAGATATAGCTAATAGTGCAGAAAGAAACATTACACTTTACATTTTTCGAACAAATTAACTTCCTCGCTATGAAATCTGTCAAATATATAAGTATAAATAAATAAGTATAAATATATGACCTCACTTTCTAGTGGCGCCGCCCTGGTGGCAGAAAAAGTCGTAGATGCTCTCATTGACAAAACTGATCAGAAATTCTTTAAATTATAAGGAGCTTAAAGATAAACAGAAATTATGTGTTTTTTAATTTTATGTCGTCATAAGATTGATTTTTTGTCCAACTAGCCTAGTAGTATTATTTATAACCAAAGCCTTCTATGTTTACTACTAGTCGGGCACTACGGTACTAATACATTGCACACAAGTTACGACCAATTCTCGTAACTTCCAGTAACTTCTTTAGTCGACCGCGAGCGGGCGAGAAGACTAGTTTTTTTTTTATTTTGTAAACCGCGATTGTTGTTTTCGACAATCTTCTTTGTTACGAAAATTTAGAATTTGTATTAACATAAATAAAGTACTCGGATCATGGTTGGTTTTTATGCGGCGATCTAAAGATAATCAATATGCTTTTGGGTCAACAAGCAGGGTATACAAAATATTCCTGTTTCCTTTATAAATGAAAGTAGAAATAGAACACAACATTGATTCAAAAAGGATTGGCCACAAAGAGCATCATTAACCTCTGGAACTAAAAATATTGTAAAAGAGGCGCTAGTAGATCACTCAAAAATTCTGCTACCTCCACTTCGCAATAAATTAGGTATTAAGAAGCAATTTGTAAAGGCACTACCTAAAGGCGGTCCCTGTTTCAAGCTATGTGATAAATTAAAGCATTTATCGGATGCAATGATCAAAGAATGCGTTTTGTTGGCCCTAAGAAGGAGGTTAAGGGAAGACGCTAACTTTGAAACAATCATGAATAAAACCGAAGAGAACGCTTGGAATTCATTTAAAGAGGTAGTGGAACATATATTAGAAAACAGAAAAAATCCAGATTATGAAAATATAGTGAATAATATGCTCAGCAATTTCCATAAACTGGGTTGCAATACGAGTATAAAGTTACATTTCCTGCATTGTCATATTGACTTTTTTGCTCAGGAATATTTGTGCCGGCCCGTAAGTGAAGAACAAGGTGAGCGCTCCCAAGAAGATAGGATGGAGGTTAAGGAGGAGGTTATGTATAGATACCAAGGAAGATGGGACACAAACATGATGACAGTCTACTGCAGGATGTTGTACAGCGATGAACCGAATAGAAAGCATAAGAGAAAAATATTGAACAGGAGCTTTGAAGAAATTAAGAAAGGATACCATAAGTCTTTTTGATTTTCTTAGTCTCTTTGACATTATTTTTAACTAATACTGTTGGTTTTTTAAATAAAAATTTTATTTTAAATTCATCAATTTTTGTAATTTCATGAAAATTGTTACGAGTTTGGGGTTCTAGACAATTAAAAATTGCCTTATTAGGATCACTGGCCTTCATCCATTCCAGAATCAGCTTGATGTTCGAATTTTCCTGTTGTGCATGTTGTAGGCTGTCCTTCCACTCATTGCTGAGCTGGTCCGTCCTCAGCATCCTCACAGATACCACTTCCTTATCCTCTTGCCTAGTACAATGCTTGCAATCTTCAGGGCAACGTCTTCTTGACAATGCATCTGCATTGCCATGAGATTTCCCGCTGCGATGTTCGATCACAAAGTCGTATTCCTGCTAGTGCTGTAGTTTAATCCATCTTACAACTTGTCCTTCCGGATTTTTGAACTGCAATAGCCATTTCAGTGCAGCAAGATCAGTTCGTAAGTGAAATTTCCGCCCCAGAAGATATTTGCTAAAATACTACAAGGACTTTACCACAGCAAGCAATTCCCGTCTTGTGACACAATAGTTCCTTTCTGGCTTTGACAACGACTTGCTGAAGTACGCTATCACAACCTCTTGATCACCATTCCCTTGAGACAACACACCGCCTAGTCCTATATCACTTGCGTCTGTGTCAACTATAAATTCCTTGCCCGCATCAGGGTACCCCAAAATAGGTGTTTTGCACAAACAGTCCTTGAGCTCCAGGAATGCGATATCGCAACTTTCATCCCAGCATAAATGTCGCTTCTCCTCGGTTAGCTTGTGCAGAGGTTTGACTATATATGCAAAGTTCTTCACAAATCGCCGATAATAGGAGCACAAACCCAAAAATGCTCTAAGCTGTGCCTTGTCTTTTGGAACTGGCCAATCCTTGACAGCGGCAATTTTCTCTGGATCCGTGCGGATACCTTCTTCCGACACTGTATACCCCAAAAAGCTAACTTGCCGTTTGAATAGTAAGCATTTCTTCGGGCTCAACTTGAGGTTGGCACTCTGGATCTTCATGAGCACGCGTTCCAGGATTTGAAGGTGTTCCTCAAACGTACGGCCTACGATGATGATGTCATCCAAGTAAACCAGACAGGCATCGCCAATTAGCCCGGTAAGTACAAGTTCCATCAACCTTTCAAACGTTGCTAGAGCATTGCACAATCCAACCGGCATGACTTTAAATTGCCACAGATCCTTTCCTGTGGAGAATGCAGTATTCTCCTTGTCCTTAGTGTCAATTTCAACCTGCCAGTAGCCACTTTTCAAGTGTTTGTCCAGCGTACTCAACCACTTTACGCCTGTAAGCATGTCCAGCGTGTCATCAGTTCTTGGCAAAGGATAGCTGTCCTTCTTCGTAACGTCGTTCAGACGGCGGTAGTCAATACGAAACTGCATCCTGCCGTCCTTCTTCTTTTCCAGCATCACATGTGAACACCATGGACTAGATGAATGTTCAATAACACCATCCTTCGCCATTCCCTCAATCATGGTTTCCACTTCCTTTTCACGTACAGGCAATCTTCTTGGCCGCTGAGCCGTGTTTATTTTGTGTTGAACTAAGCCAGTCTTTCCTATGTCAGCATCGTTTGACGAGAAAATCCTTCCCTTATCTCTTTCCCGAAGGTAGCGTGAAGGTCCTTCCTGAGGAGCATCTGCTCTTCCATACCGCGCTGCATCTGCTCTTCCAACCGACGGGCCTGTTCCTCCTGTCAGCACCTAAGTCAGGTGCTGCAGATGCAGGAGCTGCTGACGGGCCGGCCTCCGTGGTCGGCAGCTGGCCCGCCGACGTCTGCGACGTTGCACCACGAGATCGTCTCTGGTCCGTCTCCTGTTGGCGTTGACTTCGCGTACGGATACCCTCCGTGTTGTCTTTTGGTAAAATCGGCATATTTGATCCCACTTCTGACGCCAATTGTTACGAGCTTGGGTTTCTAGACAATTAAAAACTGCCGACCAAAATTGACACTTTAATTACAGAATACTTATTACAATCTAAAACCACACTAATAATAAAACACAATTGTACTACTGATCACTTTAGTTCGCAGTTATTTCGCTTCGAAGTATTCTCTTGTATCGCCAATTCAATACTGACTCGGTCATGGTCTATATCGGCCTTATATAGGGCCTTAGATAGTTTCCAGAACCTTCTACTGTAGAAACATCTAGTATGTTCGAGTACATATCGGTCCCGAAATTTCTAGAAGGATCTTGACTCTCCTAGTTCTGCTACTCGACACTAGAGGGCGCTACTGGTAACTAAATACTATTTATACTGGTAACTAAACATACAAGACATTAATAGTGGCGCGCAAAAATATGCATGTCATCGATAAATATAAGCCTCGATGTGCTAGAAAAAAAATAAAGCTATATTTTAATTTCACATACCTAGATATTTAAAAAAAATAACAATTATTGGAACGGAAAAAATGTTAAATTTAGTCATTACGACACAATGACAGGATAAAACATTAGCAGTGAACATTAAAGCTTCTTTAAAGCTATGCCCTGAAAGTTTTATTTCTAACCAATCATTTTAGCTGATTAGATTTCAAAGGTGGCCTAATGGGGCTGAAGAATTATAATTACTTGAATCTTTCAAAATGATTATAAGTAACTTGGACTAAAATATTTCTGTGATAAAATTTCAAAATATCCTCTAAAGCAAGTATTCTTGCAAAGATTAAGTTATAAAAATTATAATTGTAATATAACCTTTATATCTCAGTAATTGACATCAAAGGTTATCTAATCTAAAGTAAGTAAAGTAATAATCTTAAATTGTAATGTAAAATTAGCTTGAGAACATTATTTTAACCAACCAAACAACACAGGAAGTCTAAGATGGATATTAAATATTTCATCGATTGAAATAAAATACGCGGAATTATGGTATTTTTCCTTGTACATAAGTCGTGTATTGTACTAATGGATATCTAAGTGTTATTTCTAACATTTGATGAAAAGGCGTAATAACATATTCAAACAATCTTACACTACAATTTTTCACACCAACAGCATGTACCTATTCAAGTAATAAAATGCACTACATACAAGTATTGGAAATCTTTTAGCAGCGCAGTAAGTACTGAATAACGTTCCTAAAAAAAATGCTAAAAACCTAGTGATTGAGGTGTGGTCATGGTGGGGTAAAGGAAACTTTCACCCCAATGTATCCTGTGAGTTGTGTACTTATGTAAGAGTGGACTTAGGATATGCCACAATTTTATAGCTTCCGATAGATAGCTATATATAGCTGTTTCTGTGTGACTGCCTCGTTGGTCTAGTGGTCGTAACCGCGATTGCGAATAGGTTCGAATTCCGGGTCGGGTCGAAATCAATTTTTCTGTCAAGAAATTCTCAATAGTAGCTTGGAGTCAGGAAGTTGGCGGTGATGCACCCCCGTGCATCGGATATCGCGTAAAGCCGTTGGTTCTGCGCCTGATCTCTCAACGGTCGTGTTGGATTACCGTCCCATCGGACTATGAGAGTTAGGGAATAGAGAGTGCTCCTGTGCTTGCTTATACATTCGGGCACTATAATCCTGCATTGCGCAGATGGCTAGTCTACAATGAGACTGGCCGCCGCGCCGTGACCGAAATTCGGTTGAAGGGAGATTATACATCATATACAACATGTTACAAAATACCCCGTAAAAAATATATTTAATTATCAAAGCCAAAAATTTTATCAACCCTAGTAAGCTGTCATGTCAGAACCAGATTATTTAACAGAAAGGCCTACGTACCTATTTTACCTAATAATTGTCTACTTTAATAGTTTTTCAATATTTCATTCATAAATGTTTGCTACCTCAATACAAGGATGTCAATTATACTCAAGTATTCAAAAAAAGTCAAGTTGGAAAAAAATATGTTGTAAATTTCAAATCTTCTAATCGATATCCTACAACTGTTTCGAATTATATTTCCAACATTTTTTGAAAATAACGATGCTTTCTAACTCGGAATATTACGATATGATGTTATGCGTAGGCCATGAAGATAGCAATTTAAATCGTGCTCGCGAACTATATCGGCAACGATTTATCAACGGTAGACCCCCCACTGAACAGCGACGGCTGCCTTCGTACTAGTGTTTTCTGAACATTTCAAGACGACTACATTTCACCGGCTCTTTTCATCGGTCTACTGGAAGTGGACGTCCAAGCACAGTCAGCGCCAGGCAGGCTGAATTAGTGTTAGAGCATTTTGAAGAAGAGCCAACCACAAGTACGAGGCGAGCCGGTACAAGATTCGGTATAAACCATGTTGCAGTTTGGCGAATTCTTCGTGACGACAATCGTCACCCTTATCACTATCGCCGTACACAGGAGCTGATACCCTCCGATTTTGCACCCAGGAGGAACTTCTGCGAGTCGCACCCTACAAACTATGTTCTTTGGACGGACGAGGCAACCTTCACGAGGTCAGGGCTCTCGAATGTGCATAATGATCACGTTTGGGCTCACGTGAATCCACATGCTTCACGGCAGGGTAGATTCCAACACCAGTGGCGGCTGAATGTGTGGGCTGGCCTTTATGACGGGCATGTCATCGGTCCTGTCATTATGCCATCACGTCTGAACGGTAGGAACTATCTAACGTTTTTACAAACGGAATTCGAACAGGCGATTGACGACTTTCCTGTGGTTAACTGGGATTACTTTGAGAACCAAAGAAACATGATGTTTCAGCATTATGGACCTCCGGCACACTTTGCTCGCAACGTACGAGAGCAACGGCCGCGGGGGATCAGTGCTATGGCCTGCTCATTCTGCGGACCTCACACCCTTGGACTACTTTTTGTGGGGTTATGTGAAGGACACAGTGTATTTCTCCGATTGCCCAACGGTTGCTGAGATGGAACAACGTGTTAGATCGGTTTTCGCATCAATAACACCGACGATGGTGCGAAATGCCACACAAGCCATATCCCGACGAGTGAGGTAGTGTATTGAGCAAGGCGGAGCACACTTTGAGCCGTTTCTGTAAATTTGACGTTTATTATGAAAAAGTAAGTGTTCGTTTAGGTTATTTCGGTAGGTTAGGCCTTTTAAAGTTTTTGTCGTTCCGCAAACTAGGTAGAAATGTAGGTACATTCTGCGTAGTTTACTCTTTAATTTTACTGAAATAGGGTTTGCACATCAGTGAAAATAATTTTTTTTGGGGTATGTTATACAGCGTTACTACGGTTCTTAAATATTGTGAATGGACTCGTTATAAGGCCCCATTTAACCTCCTTTCGGCTTTACGGGTAGTTTTGTAACAACCAGTATAACTATCTCGCAAAGAGATTTAAATATATAGGTATACTATAGAGCGGGCATTAGGAACATTTAAATACAAAAACTTTGAGCTAATGCGCGTGTGACACCCTCTAGCTAAAAATAGCAAAACAACGCTAAGCATTTATTAAAACAACATTTTAGCTATTCCCCAGTAGGTGACGCTAATAAATATAACGTCGTTTTAGGAATGTTACCGTTTCGATATCAAAGTATCGATAATGTTGTTCAAGATTACTAAGTTTGAAATGCTTTGCGATACAATAATAGAGAATATACATGATTGTTTTATTGTATAAATCTATTTATCATGACTTCCATCACACGAAAAAGATCATATTAACTTTTTACGCCTCTTTAGTATCATGAAATAAAATATTTAATTTCCAATAACTAAGAATCAATTCAAACAGCAGTCACTTTGGTTGCCACCTTCCACCAATAATTCAAATCGTCGTCAATCACTAACTTTAACATTGGTAACTAAATAGTGACGTTTACTAGATAATAGAGGGCGCTTATTACAATAAAAATAAATGTTCTAGAACTATTAACTAGAAATAAAAAAAATAAAGATTATTCGGTAAAAATATGTTATATTTACGATAATAAACTGAAATCATGTTCATTTTTTGCTCCATATCGTGACATACAATATCTTAATGCACAACCGGGCATATTTTCTTTAAAAATATTTTTTAAATATATGAAACGAATGCGTCTTGACTTTTTGAAGATGTCACTAAGACTAACGGAGATATATCCTATAGGACATAAGTTACAGACGACAATTTTGCTGCTGATGTCCGGTCTATTACTACTGCTACTTAAATGTCTTTGCTATCTCGCTTACTCCAGACGTAAAATAGGTACCCAAACAAAAAAAAATTATATATATGATAAAAGGTGCGAGACGTCTACTACTGTGATCGCCAATCTACCTACATGCCATTCGAGTCATCGGTCCAGTTCTCTATATTTTCTCTCCTTTTCTAACATCTCAATTAAAAAGCCTTAATATGTTTACAACATACTTTTTGTATTTAATACAACAGGACGTTCAATGTCCTAACGATTTACCAATTTATGATAACATGGGTGCAAAACTAAGTAATCTAGTGATATCATGCAGAAGATTTAGATAATTCTCATCATTAGTAGGTACATCAGAATTCAGATAGCTTCATGATTTACTATA